GCGGGCCGGCAGGAGCAGCGGCGGGCCGGCAGGGTGCAGCGGCGGGCCGGCAGGAGCAGCGACGGGCCGGCAGGGTGCAGCGGCGGGCCGTAGAGTGCAGCGGCGGGGCCGTCGGCAGTAGAGGCGGGGCCGCGTCAGAGGAGGCGGCGTGGCCGCGTCAGGGGAGGCGGCGGGGCCGCGTGAATGGAGGCGGCGGGGCCGCGTCAGGGGAGGCGGCGGAGTCGCGTCAGGGGAGGCGGCGGGGCCTCGTCAGAGGAGGCGGCGGGGCCGCGTTAAGGGAGGCGGCTGGGCCGCGTCAGGGGAGGCGGCAAAGCCGCGTCAGAGGAGGCGGCGGGGCCGCGAGTGAAAAGGCGACCCGAGGGGTCGCTAAAAAAAAAAAAAAGGGCGCGCCTCGGGGCGCGCGTCGGTGGGCCCAGACAACGGTCCTAAGGTAGGACCCGCTCTATACCATGTGATAATAGGAAAACAGGAATGAATGAACTATGAATGAAAGCAGTACAAATATGAAACCCTAACTGGGTTGTACCCCCTATGGGATACCCCACTACAGCCTACACAGCAGTATAAGCTATAGATATGTTCTGACAATTGATGGGGTCGTTGAAACAACGAAGACACGTTGCATCAACGACGATGACAATCTTGAATTGCAGCACGACACATATTAAGACCAAACTTCGAAACAAAACAACCAACACCATCCAAGGTTGTTCATATATATAGACGCATGCGCCAGCACGCGCGTGCACACGCACAAAAACAGATACAGAGACACGCATGCACACACATATGATAGACCGCATATACATGTATCAAGGGGTCGTCCTAGTGAATATAATCCATTGCAACCGCCATTCTTGCCCGAACTCGCATATTTCCTCTGAATTCTTCCCATCTTCCTTCCCCTCACGTTTCTTCATTTTCAGTGCTTCATCCTTGCACTTCAAGAATCAGGAAGCAAATGAAGATGTTGGGGCTCACAGACCCTGCAAAACATAACAATTAACCGAACATATGCGTAAAATAAAGGATAAGAAGTAATATAATAAAAACCGGTGTGCAAAATGCAACAAGTATATAACTCTACAAATTCGGTGCAAAAAACACATGTTCCAACCAATCCCATAATGTACTTTGTCTCATATGCATATACAGAAGTTGTGTGAAGTAAAGAAAACAGGAATGAAAATGACTAAGGAAAGATTGGGTACAAATACAACCCTAGAAAACCTGTACCCCATATGTGCTACCCCACTATAGCCTACAGCAACTATGTCATATAAATCTGACAAGTTGAGTATAATGATTGATGATAAAATTGATGGTTTGCGTCTTACCTGGCTGCCACGACGCTGGGCGAGCTTCACGGGTGTCGTGGGAATGGTAGGAGGAACACTCGACGCCACACGCTTGTTGTTGTCGTTCATAGCCGCAACATGCTTCTCCTACAAATAACACGCAAATATGAAAATAATGCAAATAACTTGTCAATTGATGTGCAAACAAGAGAACATACGTATAAGAACAAAAATATCATATTATGTCATGGTTCAAATAATGATCAAATACAGAATTACCATGATGATCGTATTGATAACCCTGTCAAAGCGATCTCCAGCAGCCTTTGTAACCATCTGTGATAGGGGGAGAAAAGACAAACGACCAAAAACATGGGGTTTTGGCCAATGATGATTATGGTATGACCTTATATCACAATACAAATTTAATCAATACACAATATTAAACAATGGGATCGGCTGTAGCAGGATGTTTCTTTTAGGATATGTTTACTTCTACTGTACAATGCCGCTTTCAGCTTAGGATCGCTTGTAGCATACAGCATCATTGTCGTATTGTGCTACGTACCTTGATTTGAAGACGTGTATGAAGGAGTTTCGACAATATCTCCCTCTTCCCAGCACGATCAGCTGCGGTCCATGTCTCGATGCTGAAATCTTCCAGCCCGTCCTCGAGAGCACCCAAGCTCACTATCGCAGTCACACCTGTGCGGGCGGTCTTTCCAACTTTGGAAGGGAAAGAAACATTCAAAGCAAATTTAGTGAGAAGATCATAACATCAATAAAGTAATGCAAGATAGAACACCAAACGACAAGTACAACATAAAATGTGGATACACAAGCACCTGTCGTCGTGTCGAAGACTGCGACAACGGTATCTCGCTCGATCGTGTCCTGTGACACGTGCCCTATGTCACAGAGGTACCCGTCGTTGGTGAAACACCATCCGGTGACGGGGAAACCACAAACATCAGGGGCATCGTCCGACGGCCTGAACGGGCAGAACGATGCTGTAGTGATGTCGGTGCTGCGTATTTTCACGCTGAGTGCACACGTGATCTCTTTGCCCAAAAAGACCATGTTGTCTTCCACTGCTCCCAAACTGGAAGGGGGAGAATAAACGATTTAAACAAGTTTACAGAATCCGGACATCATCATACAAACAGTTATTGATTGTAGAATTGATACTATCTTTAGTGTGGACGAACATGCAATACATACATGATAACTATGAACAACGAGTTTCACTTACGAAGTGACGTTGCCGACGTCGGCTGATGCGGTGTGAACAGGAGTCGGACTCTGCGGGACTCGAGCAACAATAGCATCATCTGTAATCTTGATGACCCTCGACCTTTAGGAAAGATTACAATAGCCAAAATAGGAAGATAGTTAGTGTCGCACAAATCACGAACAATATAGATATATCAACACAGTGCACATTCAAATATGTGCACTCGGTCAACTGACATAGCACATTACGACGACTCTTACGATATCTCCTGGTCTTACGATACCTCTTGGTCGTGTAGATCTGAGGATGGTCGACGTAGAGCTCTGTGATCCACAAGACCACTGAAGTCGACGTGAATGATGTCCTGGTCAGCATTAGTTGCTCTTCCACGAACATGCGAATCCGGTCCGCTGATGAGCCTATCGCCGTCAAGCCAAAGCGTCCGCTCTCGTCACGTACAGAACACAGAGCTCGCAGCAAGAAACCGGGCTCCATCTTGGAGACTGTCAGCTCCACAATAAAGGATGAGACCTACAAGTAAGAAATATTTAAACAGTTTGAACAAACTATTGTTATTATGAGCGTTGATGACAAATGTGGAACTGTATGATCGCGTAACAAAAAAAAATCATCAATAAGCGTCAGAAGCATATTTGACATAAACTAACATAACACAATATGATGTATGATATCAAGTATAATGTCACGAAATGGTATGAACACATACCCGACGGCGTGTGCATGGATCAGGCGAGAACAATGCATCAAGCCATGTAGGGGTGAACACACTCAGCGGGATGCTGTCGTTCTCATCCGCCATGCGAGCATGAGATGAACGGTGCTTCCAGGTGAGTACACCGTCAAGTATGCGAGCGGAGTACCTGAAAGAAGTTTTTGTGATTTATTGATATATGGAAAGTTTAAAAATGCTACCGATCCTACGCTTCATTTAAACTTATGTTGTAGGTAGCTCTATGTTGAAGAAAGCATAGTGTAGTATGCATTTTCGTGTTGCAAACATCTATATATCACGATAGCCTCAGACTACAGACAATCCCGTGCTGCGAGCAACACTATGTTATAGTTAGCCCCACTTCATATACAACCTCATGGTACGGACAATTAGATGCTTCAGGTAGCCCCATGCGATAGGCAGCCCCATGCTGCAGGCAGCCCCATGCTGCAGGCAGCCCCATGCTGCAGGCAGTTCCATGCTGCAGGCAGCCCCATGCTGCAGGCAGCCCCATGCTGCAGGCAACCCTATGCTACAAGCAGCTCTATACTGCAGGCAGCCACATGCTATAGGCAGCCCCATGCTACATGCAACCTTATGCTGCAGGCTCTATTTTGTGCAACCAACTTCATATTGCAACTATGCATATAAAGGTAAGCCCCATGCTGATGATAACCTCATGCTGACTAGACTAGACCCATACTATAAATGCATTTAAGCAAACTATGACTTCAAATATGTAGTAAAATCTCACCCAAGTTTCTTGGAGATAGTGCATTTGATGGAGCAGATGTCGTATGTGGCTCCAAGCACGAACTCTCCAAGCGTTTTGAAGCATCTGACCATTGTCCATGGTGCCGGTGGCGGCTGCCTCTCAGACCAAAAAAGCAGCTCCATGACGTTTCCTTCAGCGTCCATCACATACAACTTTGCCGGAAATCTATCCGCGGTTGGCTGATCGAGATCGTGGGGTCGAACATTGACAATCCTCCCACGGACCATGAAGTTCAAAGGCTCTTGCGGTATGTTTAGAACCTTCATCAGATTGCTAAAGCTAGCGACCTTCGGTGGCTGTTCAATCATTACAAGGAAAATTGGGGTGCATATTTGAGAAAAAGAAAGGAATTGAAACAAATAGAGATAGAAAGATAGTAAAAGAGAGAGAGAGAGAGAGAGAGAGAGAGAGAGAGAGAGAGAGAGAGAGAGAGAGAGAGAAAGAGAGAGAGAGAGAGAGAGAGAGAGAGAGAGAGAGAGAGAGAGAGAGAGAGAGAGAGAGAGAGAGAGAGAGAGAGAGAGGAAACCCCTTAGCCCTCTGCCCTCTACCTCATCCCTCTGCCCTCCGCCCTCCAGAGCTATTTAAAGGCTGTTCCTCTCTCCTTCCCCTCATTATTTTGTGTGGAGTTCTTTTCCGGCGGGAGAGAGCGAGAGAGAGAGAGAGGAAACCCCTTAGCCCTCTGCCCTCTACCTCATCCCTCTGCCCTCCGCCCTCCAGAGCTATTCAAAGGCTGTTCCTCTCTCCTTCCCCTCATTATTTCGTGTGGAGTTCTTTTCCAGCGGCTCGCGCCGGCGGCCTTCGGCCGCCGCCGCTCGCCAGCGCGGCCTTCGGCCGCGCGCTCCTGGTGGCAAGGAACAAGGCGGTGGATTGCTATTTCAGGAAGAACACGCATGCAAAGGAATCAAGGGAGCAGAGCCTAGGCAAGAGAGAACGGCATGCAATACTATACGCGGCGGAGGCCTACATCGTGTACGGCTCCGCCCCCTCCATCTCAAGCAACGAGCACATGCACGCCGATACCGCAAGAAGGAGATGCGCCGATGACTGGAGCGTGTCCAGGGGGGTCCCGGCCTGAGCAACCCCTACAAGATCCCCCACGTGGCGGGGGAAAGTACGGGCTAAGGGAGCTACCCCGGCGGGCGCTTCCGACACGGGCGCCAACCGCGACTCGAGCGATTCTGCCAAAGTCACGCATGATCCTCGGGATCCTGGACCGAAATTGCTCAGAAAGCTCTGGGTGGCCCCACACACCGCCAGCTGCAAGTTCGCCACCACCTCGCTCGCCTCCGCCAGGTTCAGAACCCGACACATGGTCAGCATGGGGTCTTTCCCCGCGCGAGTGGGGGGAGGTGCAGTCAGCTCTTCGCGCGGAAACGCCGTCGGCCAGCCTGGAGTCCGGCCAACAGTTAAGCGCGGTACAGAGAAGCCGGGAACCGGACGGGGGGTGCGGAACTGAGCCCTCCCCTCACGCGCGGGTTGATACCCGCGCAGCGTGGGCGCGCGCTGCGGAGCAACCTGGCTGGGGTCCGCGGCGAAGGGGGGACCGTTGGTCACCTCAATGTGGACGTGAGTCGGAGCCCCACTCGCCCGGGCCTGCCTCACCACCTCCACGAACGTGTCAGCGGCGTGATCAAGGGCAGGATCGCCCTGGTGGCCTTTCCCTCCCCGCCCTCCGCCTTCCCGCCGGCCACGCCGCCCCCCGGAACCAGCCGAATGTGGACGCGGGGAGATCTGCCCGCGGCGACCAGACCCCCTTCCCCGCGTCGCCGGAGATCGCCGCAGAGAGCGTTGCGCGGGGGATCGCGCTCGGGGTGAGCGCTGGCCTGCCCGACCACGAGGGGATGGGCAGCGAGGGGAGCAAGGACGCGCAGGGGAGCGCTGATCCCCCCCCCCTCGCTGATAATGTTCGCGATGCTCAGGGGAAGGGCGGCGAGGAGAGGGCTGCCGAGGAGGCTGACATGGAGGCGAGCGCCCGCGCCCTTGCCACGGCGGACCGTCCGGACGGTTCGACGCAACACAGGCAGGCGCCCACGAACACTCCGGCGAGGTTGGGCGCGCGGCAGGCTGAGGGGGAAGAGCTTGCACCCGCTCGAAGCGGCGGACGGGCTCGCTCGCGGAGGGGTGCGCGAGGAAGCGCGGACGAGGCGCGGCGGGCGCAGGCTCCGGCAGCGTGCTCTCCGCGGATCCCTCCAGCTCCGGATCCCGTCTCGCGGATGGGTCCATCACCCCCGATCGCACCACGGCCGACGCCCGTGCGCCGACAACGCGACTACGAAGTGGCCGTTGCGCCGCAAACAGAGCACGGGGGAGCTGCTGTAGGAAGAGCAACGCGCGGAATACGCGTGGGACGCGGCAGCCGCCGCGGGCGGAGGGGAACAACACGAGGACGAAGGGGAGGTGAAGCACGGGGTTCAAACAGGCGCCGCACCGGTGCAAGCGGCTACGTGAGAAACGCGGAGAGGCAGATACGGAACGGCGCAGAGGGCGGCGAGGATCCACCTGGCGAGGAGGCAGAGGAGGAAGTGGAGAATGAAGGAAGTGACGAGGGTGACCCCGCTTTTAACCCTGAAAGAGAGGGGACGTTGGGTGCGGAAGCCGAGGAGGACGAGGATGACTTGGAATTGTTGCTTCGGGAAGAGGAGCTCGCCAGATCAAATGTCCGAGGCGAACCTGCCAGCCGAGCCACAGCCGAAGGAGCGGGCCAAAATCCAACCCCAGGCCGAGACGCATCTGCAATTCCAATTCCCAGAAATCGGACCGCGAGGCAGAACCGAGCCGCCCCCTTCAATACGGTTACCACCGCTCCAACCATTGCTACGGCCCCAACGCCCGCCATCCCTGACCCAATCATCAGCGCTGACGACCTCGCAGGCCGTCATGACCTTTTCGCAGATGTCGCCAACTGGGACCTCTGCCCGCTGCGCGACAGCAGACAGCCACCCCTTGCCCGCCACCCACCCCGCCCACTTCGCGAATCCTTCGCGATATGCCTGCTGACGCCACTGCTGCACCTGGCAAAAAACCCCGACTCCATCGCAGGCTGGAGGCTGCTGATGTTCCTCCTGCGCATCCTGCTGCGCACCTCGTCAGCACGCACACCCGACTGGAAAGCCATGGGAGCCAGGATTACACGATTTCGCCAAGGTCAGTGGCGCAACCTGTACGACGAGGCAGCTGACGCGGTTACCAGCAACCCCCAACCTCGACACACACCTGACGACACAGGCAAGCTCTCGCGGGCCGAAGGCCTGGCGAAACGGGGGAACCTGGCGAAATCACTAGAGACTCTGACCGCCACGCCAGTCTGCACGCCGAGCGCCGAAGTACTTGACGCACTCAAAGCCAGGCACCCAGACACCGCCACGGCCATCCCTTCCTGGGTGCTCGACTTCGCCCCAGAGAACGTCCCTGCCAACGCTGCCGGGGACCTCAGGCGACTACTGGCAAAATGCCCCAACGGAGTGGGGGCTGGGCCATCAGGCACCACCTTTGAGCACCTCAGAGATGCGGCCCTTGGGAACGGGGACGTTTTCCTGGAGTTGCATGCACTTACCAACACGGCACTCTCTGGAAAGCTGACGGCGGACGTGGCGGAACTCCTAACAGCGTCACGACTGCTCGCCTCCTTGAAACCAAACGGTGGAACGCGGCCGATAGCAGTAGGCGAATGCCTACTACGCCTCGTGGCCAAGGCGGCCCTTTTCCTAGCCGCACCAGCGGCGCGTGAGCACTTCACCCCGCTACAGTTCGGAGTAGCAATCGCGGGAGGAATAGAGGCAGCAATCCACACAGCACGTACCTACCTGGAGGAATTCCCAGGAGCGACAGCGCTGCAGATAGACCTGGCCAACGCCTTCAATGCAGTCGAGCGCGCGGCAGTGTTCGAGGGCTTGAAATGCACCGACCTCGAAGCCTTGGTGCCCCTCGTTCGCTTCTCATACGGCAACCCATCGGCGCTCTACCTCGACCATGACTTCGGAGCAGAACCTCTAAGGAGCGCCGGGGGAGTCTGTCAAGGGGACCCGCTAGGACCCATGCTGTTTGCAGCCAGCATTCACCCCTGCCTCGTCCAATCGGCGGCGGCACATCCGGAGGTGGTGTTTTTGGCGTATGCTGATGACATCACCATGCTGGGGGAGGCGGCCAACTGCACGGCAGCCTTTGCACACCTCACGGAAGCCCTTCGACTTCATGGACTGGTCCACAACCCCTCGAAGTGTGAAGCATGGTCCGCAGCTGCGCTCGACCCCTCCACCTTACCTCCTGACATCACAATATCACAGGACGGAGTCCGCGTCTTAGGCAGCCCCATCGCCCCCCCCACAGGTTGCGCGTCCAGAGTTCGCGAGCGCCTCGCAGCAGCAGCCGAACCTCTCGCGCTCCTCACACAGATGGACCCCCAACTCTGCCTGCTACTACTCACCCGCTGCGTAGGCCGCCGCGCCTCGTTCCTGGCCCGAGCCACGCCCCCCGAAGCCCTTCCGCAGGAAGAATGGTCGGGCTGGGGGGAACAACTGCTCCACACCTATCTGGCCGCGGCACACACGCAGGTCCCTAGGGACCAGGCAGAGCGGAACAGAATCTGGCACCAAGCCGCGCTGCCTGCATCCCTAGGAGGCCTCGGCATTACTAACCCTGCGGTGGAGGGGAGATTTGCTTACCTGGCATCAGTTGTAGCAGCCTCCCACCTGCTACGCTCCTTCGGCGACGCGGCAAACCCGGCCCTACCAGGACTGCTGCCGCTGATGGACGCGGACGGCGATTCCACCTCCCTGCTCCCACGTCGCCTCGCAACCCTGGAAGCCGAGCTACCACCAGACGGAATAGAGGCCCTGCAAGTTGGGAGGCAAAAGCCTAACGGGCCAAAGCTGCAGCAAGCTCTCTCCCTCGCGGTGCACACCGCGCGCTACATCCGACTGCTGGATAGCTCGCGGACCATGGATCTGAACCCACTATTTGGCCACACACAGAGACTACAGTCCCTCTTAGGCCCGGGGGCGGGGGATTGGCTGCTCGCCATCCCCCTGATCTCTCCCCTCCGCCTCGGCCCCTCCCAATTCTCCACCGGGGCATCCTTCCGCCTCGGACTGCCCTTACCAGTGCCGAGACGCTGCAACTGCAGATTCCGCACCACCTTCCCGGACGACCGTCTGCCGAATCACTTGATGCGGTGTGAGAAAGGGGGGGGGGGAGAATTAGCACGCACAATGCCCTGCGCGACGAGTGCGCAAAGATTGCGGCTGAGGCAGGATTCACGGTGCACAAGGAGACAACGGCATACTCACCGATTGATAACCTCAAAGCGGATATCTCTATCCGCCATCCCGACACCGGTGCAGTGTGGATCTGTGACATCACAGTCACAGACCCCGTCTCCCACCAAGACGAGTACGCGCGCAAGGCCCCCGGGTGGGCGGCTAGGATGCAAGCGGACAAAAAAGAGACAAAGTACGCCGGGCGGAGCCCATGGGTGGGCTTCTACGCCATGGCCGTGCAGACCTATGGCTACCCCTCACCTGGAGTCTTGGATTTCCTTCGCAGCTGCGCGGAGCTAGCGGCAAAGCGGCGGTTTAACACCTCCCCAAAGTCGAGGGAGGTGGCAAAACTACTTACCGAGTACCGACAGCGATGGAGCGTGACCCTGCAGAGAGCCCAAGCCAACGCCCTCAGGGATAAGACCCATGAGGCTCTTACCGCGGATGCGCTTGGCCTGCAGGGACCCTTGACTCCGCTGAGCGAGGGCCAGCTGTATCAACTGATAGAAGACCCCTCCGGCCACTAGGGCCGGAAGGGAAAGGGGGCGGGTGTAGTGGTGTTAGGATAGGGGATTGCACCTGTAGCCAGGTTGTGTGTGTCTTGCTTCCTTACCCTGTGTGTACCTTGATGATATTAATACGACGGACTGTTCGAGAGAGAGAGAGAGAGAGAGAGAGAGAGAGAGAGAGAGAGAGAGAGAGAGAGAGAGAGAGAGAGAGAGAGAGAGAGAGAGAACGGCTCGCGTCATGCTTGCAGCAATAGCAAGCGTAGGCAAACCATTATAGGACGAGCAATATAGGACAAATAGCAAGTAGTATGACTACGCCAACCATGCCTCAGGTGCTACCGACAACCGACCACTTACAACTCCGCGCGCCGTAGAAGCCACTCTGCCATTTCGTGAACAGACAGAGCGCTAACACGAGGCCGCACATCATGACTACAACTGACTGCGGGTTTAGGGTTCGCATTCCCATCTCAGTGCCGCGCCCAACACAAGCTATCTATTAGGCTCTAACTCTGTCCGCGCCAATTTGTGCTTCAACACCCCACGCCCCATCCCGACTTGCCCGCATCTGTACATAGTTCATCACGTTTGATCTCACCTGGTAGATTCTTCGGAGTTGCCGCTACATTGTCGATCATCAAAGCAACAATAGCCACAAAAGACCTCACGTGCCCCAGATGCATAAGGTTGTGCCCCTCCACCTCAAGCGGACGAGGAGCATTAGTACGTTTGCGGAACAATCCCCAACCGCTACATGAATCCCTGACTAACGACAGGTAGTGGATCGAAACAACTGGAACTTTGGGGAGACCCAGCCCTTTGCCACCATCCTCGCTGCTGCTCCTACCTCCAATGTTGGATGGTCAAGAGTTTCCGTTGTCTGCGTAGGAGGATGATGCAGGAAATGCACAAGAGGAGGCGGAGGTATACCATATAACGAGAGTTCGCCACGTCAACCATATTCAGCTTCCACAAATGTCTGATACATGGGAGGCCCACCCTTTGGAGGCGCGCACCATACCCTTGGAGGCACAAATGTAGAAGTGCCTCAGCGGGCTGTGCAGGCAACATCGGTGGCTCCTGTTGCGAGGGAAGAACGAACTTTTGTAGGGGGAGCACGGAAGCACCAACGAGAAGTGGTATAGCAGCAGCAGGAGGATGAGGCGCCAGGTCGAGCGGGGGAGGAAGCTGGCTTACGGTCGGTGATGTTATCGACCTCACCTCAACACCAAAACAGGCACTTGACAAAACTGGAAAGCTGGCCTGGATAAGCAGGAAAACATAGCCAAAGCGCTTTAGGTGTTGGAAAGCACATATGTAAACTCCAACTCCTGAGACTTCAAAATTCTTACGCACCCGCGACCTCCTGTGCTGTAACGACCTGCCTGAGTGGCTCAAGCAAAGCTCATGTTCACCTGCGCCTTCAATAACCTTGCGGGACCTCTGTACCATCCTCTCGACTTGCAAAAATGGCGTAGGAGCAGGCCCAAGCGGGATGAGTTTCGAGCACGTTCGTGAGCACCTTTGTTGTCTGGACGAAGGCAAGCATCTGCTCACCCTAGTCAACACAATCCCACTTGGGAAACTCTATCAAGAAGCGGCACAGTTACTCACTACGTCAAGGCTCTTGACGTTCTTTATGCCGCAACGTCCCCAAGTGCGCGGCATGGCCCCCGCCACACCCCAACAGCTGCCCCTGCCCACTAGTGTGCCCCGGTCGCCCAACAGCCTCGAAGTTTTGGGCAGCCTAGCTGGTCACACGAGGACTGTGCCAACTTCTTACGCACCTGAATGACTGAGGCTGTTGCGCTGTCAATTCTTCTCTCGAAGCTGGAGCCGCAGCTCTGTTGCATGGAGACCTATACATTGCAGGTAGTTCCATGTAGCACAAGTCCCCATGATGCAGGCTACTCGATGCTACAAGCAGTCCAATGTTGTAGACAACCCCATGTTGCACGTATCCCCA